TACATTTATCTTATTTCCATCTCCTAATTCTATTATCACTATTTCAGTTTATATATCTATATAATTTTCAAGTTTTCTCTATCTTTATTCTCATCTTTCCTACCTCTCTCTATTTCTCCCTTTTTATCACCATTCCTTCTTCCTTCTAGTTATTTAATTTTCTAATTCCCTTTATTTCCATCTTATTTCTTGTCTCTTTCAATACTTCTCCTCAATTCCCTTAAATTTCATCTACTAATCTTATATCATTTTTCTAATTCCCTTTTTCCCATCTTTCTTACCTCTTCACTACTTCTCTCCTTCCCTTTTTTCTTACCATCACCTACTAATCTTATTATCTATCTTTCTATCTATTATCCTTCCCTCTTTAGTCGTTCCTTATACCTCTGCCAGTACTTCTCCTATTTCCCCTTCCCGTACCATCACCTATTAATCTTACCTATCTATCTATCTATCTACCTATCTATCTATCTATCATCCTTCCCTCATTTCCTTACATTACTTCTCCTCCTTCTTCCTTTCCTTACCATCACCTTCTAATCTAATCTATCCATCTCCCTCCCTCCCTCCTCTCTCTCTCTCTCTCTCTCTCTCTATCCATCCACCATCCATCCATCCAACCAACCATCCATCCATCCATCCATCCACCATCCATCCCATCCATCCACCCCATCCACCCATCCTCCACCCACCACCCATCCCTCCACCCCACCCACCCATCCATCCACCCACCCACCCCCCACCCACCCACCCCTCCCTCCACCCACCCACCCACCCCTCCACCCACCCACCCAACCCCATCCATCCACCCCTCCACCCACCCATCCATCCATCTATTTCCCTTCCCTCTTTCCCTTAACACCGTACCTTGTCTCTGGTCATTCCTCAACACCCGCACTTTTGGCAACCCGGCGAGCAGCTGTCCGTCTTGAGCTGAAATTGTAAGAAAAAAAAGTAAAGAAAATGTATTCCTTATATATGAGTAAATAGAATGATATGTACGGATGAGTAAATAAACAGATACATAAATAAATGAAGAATTAGATGATTGAATGAATAAAATATATAGATAAAGAAATATATGCAAGAATGAAATTATTAAAAAGTAAAAAAAACAAAATAAATGAATAAATACATAAATAAATGGATAATGCTATAAATAAATGCACATATGAATAGATAAACAGACAAACAAATAAATAATAATGAATATATATAACACATGCATATATATCACTTATTTCGAAACATAAATTTCCTTAGTCTAAAATGCCACAAGAAAATAAACAAATAAAATATGAATAGAAACGAAAAAGAAGGAAAGTAATAAAACTAAAAATAATATTAATAATGATAATGGTGATAATAATGATAATGATAAAAATAATAATAATAATAATAGTAATGATAATAATAATAATAATGATAATAATAATAATAATAATAATAATAATAATAATAATAACAACAACAACAATAGTAGAATTTATTATAATAAGTATAAAAACAATAATAATAATAATGGAAATCATAATAATGACAACAATGATAATAATAATGATGACATTAATGATGATAATAATGATGCTGATAATGATGATGATGATGATGATGATGATGATGATGATATAATAATAATAATAATAATAATAATAATAATAATAATAATAATAATAATAATATAATATAATAATAAATAATAATAAAGGTAATGACAATAATAATGACAATGATGATAATGATGATGATAATGATAATGATAAATAAAAATAACAATAATACTAATCAAAGAAGGGTAAATTATTCTCGAAAGGAAAACCACTAACCCACTAAATAGAATATATCTTTTAGACGCAAAAAAAAAAAAAAAAAAAAAAAAAAAAAATATAATATATAATATATATATATATATATATATATATATATATATATATATATATATATATATATATATATATATATATAATATCAGAGACTGATTTCCTTAAGTCATATTCTAAACTCCCTTTGTGGCATGTTGGTGCGATCTTCCAAGGTCAATAAAACTGACCGACTTCGATGTAAAGTATATTCAACGATTTTCGTATTCTAACTTTCGTTTGTTATAAATTCTTAGCGACGTTATCGAACCCCTTTTGTTGTTTTAATTGAAGCTCTCTTAAATAGTAATAATAAAAAAAATCATAACAACAGCAGCAATAAAAACAACAGATTATGTTAATAATAGGCACAAAAATCTTTACTGATAATAAAACTAAGCTATCAACCTAAAAAATAAATATGTAACTAAATATATGCATAAAAATGGACATAAATATAAATACATATTTATAAAATAACTTCGAACATCTTTAAAAACTATAGATCTTAATATCTTTAAAAAAGTATATATTCTAAAAACCCAAACCAAAAAATGGGACAAAGAAAAAAGAAAGAGAGAAAAGAAAAAAAGAAAAGAAAAACAAAACAAACAAAAGAAAAAGAAAAACGAATGAAAAAAAGAGAAAAACAAAAAAAAAAACAAAAAGAAATAAAAAAATATACATATCTCTATATATAAACTGATACCACAAGGTATAAGGCGTGCAGTCACTCATACTTACGGTCATCGCTCGCATCGTCCACGAGTATCAGGTCCTCAAGCAGTTCATCTGGCGTTCGGGTCAAGACACTGTCAAGCAACAAAGCGGGAGAGACGGTTATTCCTTGCCTGTTTATGCGCGACATTTTGGGGTCAGGTCGGCTAGAGTTTGTTGGCAAAATGGCGTTTGTGAAAAGGGGGGGGATCTCTGCGTTTTCGCGTTTTTTATTGTTCATGATTTATGTCTTTTTAGTATGACTTTGCATCTTTTTTTCTCTTGCTCTTTCTCTCTTTCTCCTTCACCCTCTCCCTCTCCTTCTCCCTTTCTTTCTCCTCCTTCTCCTTCCTCTCCCTCTCCCCCTTCTCCTTCTCCCTCTCTTCTGTCTTCTCCCGCTCCCTCTCCTCTTTCCCCCTCCCTCTCTCTCCTTCTCCTCCCCAATTCCTCTCCTCTCTCCTTCTCATCCTCTCTCCCTCTCCTCTCTTTTTCTCACCCTCTCCCTCTCTCCTTCCTCTTTCTCCTTCCCCCTCTCCCTCTCACTCCCACTACCTCTCATCCCTCCCCTCCACCATCCCTCCCTCTCCCCCCTC